CTTAATACAAATTTGAATAAACCGTCAAATGGAGGGCTAAGAGGGGCTTCTACTTTATCACACATTATTCAGACGTGTGTACATGTGCTTAGATCTTTGGGAATATATACAGCTTGTAACTGTTGACGGGTATTAACCGGTTTATGCTTAGACATTTGATCTAGTAGTCGGTCAGACTTTTACTTTTAACGCAAAACTGACAAACTCGCCTGGCAGTCTTAGAGTCAGCCCAATGACTAGCTTTGCCGCTGAACACTGAGAATCGGTTTTGACTGCTGTTCTCACCTCGAATATAAATAATGGCAGGAATTCTGTCCACTGAGCTGAGTTTGAGTGTGAGGTTAGAGCAGGCTTTAACTGACAATGAAAATGTTCGGTCATCCAATTAGCCTGAGGACGATATGTTATGCAAGGTATTCTGCTAGTGTCTACAGGTTTCGTAAGTTTTTCCTGCCTTAAGGTAACCCTCGTGCTATTGATAGAAGAAACCAGACAAGTAGTGAATAGGTCTTTATTTCGATCTTCGCGCAGTCACAATGGAGCGTGGGATTATTTGTTCGGAAAAACAAAGTTTCACAACATTCAATATAAGACAATAGGAAATATAACGCCTATGCAAAATAAAAAAGGTGAACGAATACGTGAACTATACTGTTTTGGCATATGCTTGGTTGTTTGAGGTCAACTCTTAACCAACCAACCTAAGCTATTACATTAGCTTCCCCCTAGAATTGACTTCCGTAGGAACGTCGGTTCGATTAACTTAGCTATCAGAAACACCTTAGTTCTGTTTTCTCGGCCAAAGGGAAAATTATCAACTCGCTCACTCTTTGACTTCCAATCAATGACGACTAATTCCGTCAGCAATCAAAGATAGTCCATGGATGTCTCTTCACTTGCTAGCTTGTCATTTTATTTTGTAGTATGTGATTTCTTCTACAACTATCGCTGACGGTTTGCTACGTGCTCTCAAGAGAAAGAGTGTGAGAATGTGGAACAACAATATCTGAGGAAGTGCCGCGAGCGGGCTACCCAACACCATGCTGGTCAGGTACGATTTTCCCATGTCCCGACCGGCTATCAGGTGTTTACTCACCTGCCTCTTGAGTCACCCTCAAGTAAAAAGTAAAGAAGAATCTACTTCAAAGGTAATGGTGAAAACCAATCAAACCTGAAAAAATGCTCCACTGCCCGCATAAAATAATAAGATACAAAATGGAAATACATGATTATAATTGATAATTTTTCGGTTCCACGTAAGTGATTGGCCTCCTAAACGGATTGGTACTCTGGAAGGAAATAGACATAGTGTAGCTATCTTGTGCACGATAAAGTATGAAAACAAAAAAATGCTTTTTTATAATGCATATATGTAAAAGTGTAAACTTGCTAGAAGTTGGACTCATTGTCAAACCCGATCAAATGTATGACCTTGGGCCTATGACGACCGCCTTTTTAACCAGGTACGTAACCAATGGTGCATAAGAGTACTCCACAAAACGGAAAAGAATACACGGTTAAGGAGGAAATATAACGCCTATGCAAAATAAAAAAGGTGAACGAATACGTGAACTATACTGTTTTGGCATATGCTTGGTTGTTTGAGGTCAACTCCTAACCAACCAACCTAAGCTGTTACAAGTTATTGAATAGCTCAAAACCGAACTGACCTATGTCAGAAGTTATTGTAGTGGACGCACCAAAAATGATTACTCAGTGCTGAACGAAAGCTTTATTCACTGTTTCAGATGTGATTTCGATTTCTGACGTGGCTATCAAAACCTTGTGAACTTATAAGTGAAATTAACTATATAGTTAAAACCACTAGAACGCAGTAAAGGACCTACCAATTCGATGCGGGTGTGGACAAAACGCTCATCTAGTTGTGAGAAAACAACAAAAAGTGAACCCATATGACGGTTAACCCTTGATTATTGATTCTCCGAACACTCTCCAACCCACTTGTGTACTTTTCGTAAATTTTGTCATATAAATCCACCACTAACTAGTTTAGTGAGAGATTTCGCGCTGTGATGAGTTAAATTATGGAAATCATTAGACACTAATTTCCGCATACTTTTGCGGACGAAAAGTTGAGACATCACCTTGTTCGTGCCACAGCATATGAAACTGACCTAAATATGTAATGATAACTGTTTTTTAAAGGCTGGAGATCCTCGCCGCAAGTAGGTTTTGCATTTTCTCTTCTCCTCCTGGTTGTCCAAATAAGCTTCAAAATTTTTAGTCGATTGTTAAATTATACTCATTTCCAAACGCAACAGTGCATCTGCTGCCTGATTGTTTTGATCTTTGACAAGTTGTTTACCACTGAACTGTGATATAAAGCCAAGATGTCGGATCCCTCGAGGAGAATATTTATTTGCTTTAGCTTTTACCGCATTGGTTAGTGGTTTTTACTCCGCATGACCTGTTCTGTGATCCAGATCTCGGTTGTTGTGTTAACCTACTTCTGTTTCTGCCATGTTGGTCTTTCGGTGATTCTTCTATTTGTATGATGCATTGTACGTGCTCGAGCTGAAGGACTACTCTTCTCTGATCTATCTGCAATACGTGTTACGTGAGGTGAAGATATTTCTGGGTCATGAGGGTCTAGACATTGTTGGACGTCGCATGAGAGAGCTTGTATCCATCTTTGTTTGAGGGCTGTTTCATCCACGGCGTTGTCATTAGGTATGACTCGAAGGTGACGCAAAAAGTATGATTATGACTCATCACCTAATGCTTTCGTATAGAAAAGCCTTCGAATTACTTAGCCGTCTGATGATTGTATACAGTTCACTATTTCAAGCCTTAAAACGGTGTATGGTTGTGACGTCGGAAGACTCAGAACTAAGCAGCAAAATTCGTGGGGATTTAAAGGAGGGAGGAAGGAACGTACGTCTCGGTAGCGAATCCCTTCAGATTTAATAGTGTACCCCATGAAATAATGCTGTAGTTGATCACACAGTAACTCTGGGTCACGTCTGTCAAATTCCGGGAATCAGGCTTTCACAGTCACAACAGTATTTATCTCCGTCGGCGACTGAGTTTAAAATGCGGTATTTAACACGTAAATTAATATGATATAACCGAGGTAAAAATTGATCTCAACACGAACACTGTGATATATATATATAAATGAAACTTACGTTAACGATAATCTTACTGATTCGTCAGAAAATTTGCTTTTACGACAAAACCAAAAATAGGTAGAATAGAAATGTTTTTGTGATCAAAACTGGGTTTACCAATCTAATGCTGGTAGATACCCCTCGTCTTTATACGTTGAAAAAGTCAGGTGTTTGTGGTGAGGTTCCAGTTTCAAGCACATGAAAATTTTAACATTCAATATAGGATTATAGGAAATATAATGCCCATACAATAACGAAGTATGTAAACATTTGAGCTTTAATGTTTTTGCATCACAAATATGTTTTCGGCTAACTCTTAACTATCCGATTTCAGGTGTTGCAAGATCCCTTAACGTAATCCGATCACAGATTTAAATATGATGCATAAAGTACTGGGAAGTTGTTTCGAGACCGACTGATCATTTGTATAACTAGATCGTCACACCCAAGGAATAACAGACGAGTTTTCCAGGATGAACATTCAATTCTTGAGACCCAATTATTTATTTATTTGTTTGTTTAAACACAAACATTGATACGAGGATGCACCAAACAGATAGGCGCCACATAAACCATTAGATTTGTGTGAGGGCTGAGATACTGCCCGGAGGCCCAAACCGAGGCGGATGGTTTTAATACGGGGCCACACCCCGAGCCTTTGACCTAAAGGTCTAATTCACAAGGCAGTAGAGCAACTTCAGGAGATGCAGTTCCATGATAGCCGGTAACCAACAATAGGTACGTACGTCATTTACTTCCTTAGGGTCCTGGAGCCTATGTACACCATTGGTTTAGAATCAGGGTTTTCCAACTCGTTGAGGTGGATTCTCCGAGCCCACCAACCCGGGTAGAGTGCCCGACATTCACATTTCGTCCTCCCACTTTCGAAAACAACATCCTCGCCGCGAAGAATGCAGTGAGTAGGCCTTCCCTGGAAGTGGTTTTATGCACATGGCCATGTGAGAGCATTTCGAGTGGGAGAGCTGACTCTGCCTACTCTCGGCTATACCAGGGCATTTCGGGACCCGATTCAAACGGACTTGTGTCTAACACATCAGTCCGAATGTTGAAGAAATGGAAGGATAAAAAATCTGACTAGAAAAAACGAATAAGGAACTTTAGAGTTTTGTTGGCGTAGCAATGTATGAATCTAAGAATGCTATAAGTAGTGAAGTAGGGGCGTCCATACAAGAAATTACGTACAAAATCAGAGTGATAATACAATAATCATGGATACACAAGTCGAAAAAATACCTACAAAACATATATATGTACTATCTCGATACAATATTATTCTTATTAAACGAGTTTTTTTCATCGCCGCATACACAACCTTGGTGAGAACTAAGCTTGAGATCTGTTTTCAGGCTCCAAGCCCCTGTTTAAAAGGTGACTCGAATATCATTGATGAACTAAAAATGGCATCTACCCGTGCGATTCCAGAACTCATGGGTTTACCATACCAAGAGCGGATTGAAAAGCTAGACCTCTTTACTCTGTCCTATCGCAGATTATGAGGTGATCTGATTTTGATGTATAGAATAGTAAGAAATGATTTTGGACATAATATATCTCCCTTTTTCTTTTCACCAGGTCGAGACATTCCTGGGTACATAGCAAGCGAGTAGGAAAGCCATGAACGAACAAAATACCCGTGGCATAAAGGTTCTCACACCGAATCATTAATTATTGGAACATGATGCCCGAAGCGGTGGTGTCCGCACCTTCAATCGACTCATTCGAGAGAACACTGGACGCTCACAGAAGCACTCTAGTAAAGAAATAACATGGGCCATAAGCCTTCTGCCCTTACTAAATAAATCTGAAATCTGGATCTTTGTTTTTCCGGATAGAGTGAAGCTGGTCCTTGAAAGTGATTTTAAAATCCTATCGTTTGTACTCCTGTTTTCGCTGGTAATGTACTTGGTCCTACAGAGTTGTCAGACTCGAGCAAGATTTGGTGTTTATAAGCAGTTTTTTCAGATTGGTTTCAGTTGCTCCAGAACCGTCTTTAGAAAATTGTCCACATCCTTATGTTTTCATAGGGGATTCTACTGGAACGATCGGTACGATAATAATGAGGAGGTAAATTAACAAAGTCAATCACTTTTTATTTAGATTACCAGAGTGTTTACTGTAGGATTAATGGTACTGCTGGAAGTAGTTTTCTATTTCGGTTTGTTTTAACATAATATCCCAATCTCCCTATTCTGGGGAAAAATCTTGTCCGTTTCGGCGAATCCACAGTAGAAAACTTCGGGGAAATGGCACAGGACCCAAAAATTCCCCCAGGTCTGAGAAAATTCCTCAAAATGTCTGAGGATGAGGTGTCCCCCAATATTTCCCCAGTATCTTATAACACTGGAGTTTATCCCCAAAATCTTCCCAAACTTTGAGGAAAACAACCTAACTTCCTACGATTTGGGGGGAAACATCAAATTAGGGGGATTGAGATTTAACACATGTTTGTGTCGTTTTGTGGCACTTTATGAAGTGTGGGAGAATGTAAAATTGTTCCAGAATTTAGTTTTAAGCCATGCTGACAATTGAAGTGTAGTTCATCACCTCATAACCGAACTAAGTGATTAAAGATGTCACGAATATTGAGGTCTTGGCAGCGCTTTTATCTACAACACTTACAAACGAAGGATCCCAGACCCAGTCAAACGAGAAGTCAAGATTGAATGAATTTGAAGATATGTTTGGCAGGTAGTCGTTGTGTCAAGATTTATGTGGCCCAAGCTGGCTAGTTATTGCGAAGGATGCGCAACACAGTGTACCCAATAATCTGGTGCGGATGCGTGACCGAGAGCTAGAATGTGTCCCGTAAAACTAATTGGTTCAACATTAATGTCGAAGAATCTCAGAGCTACTTAATTTTTGACGTAATGTGTTTTCGCTAATGAACTTTCAATGTCATGGCAAGAATCTCAGTTATGTGATAGTTGAAAGAAATCCGAAATATTTCTTTAATAACGTGTAAAGACTCGAACTCTTCAATTAGAAATGCCTGTGCCGAGGCCTTGGGTAATGTAAGATAGTGTCACTTGGTCGTCCAATTTTATTTATATTGAAGTGTTTGTGGAGGAACTAGTTTAAACGTATGAGAATTTCTGAACGATGAATGTAGAATAAGAAAGTACATATTTTCCGCGAACATATGCAATTGACACTCAATATATAGATTAGGAAACTCAGCTATGTATACGTATTGTTACCGACACTCATAATAAAGTATGTGCACCAATACTGAAGTTATTAAAGTTTCAAAAACGTTTGAGTGACTAGCAATTTAACTATCTCAGTAGCATCAAAACCATCGAGCATCATTTACTCATGTTTTTTTGTTTTCATATGTTTCCACCTTAAAATGTGATTATCGAATTGCATTATACGGAATTAAAGTTTGTAAACAAGTATCTAAAACATAGTGAATAAGGTTTTTAATCACTCAGAATACTCTATATTTGGTCCTATATCCCTCTATGTTTTTCATCTATTTAACAAGCATAAGCCTCACTAGGTAAATTTAGTGTCCCGTCACTTCATAATATTTATTCGTCTCGATAAAATTTACAGTACATTAAACTTGAATAAGTTTCATCCCTGATCTAATCGCATTTGTGTGCAGGATATTTGAAACATTTTGCTTCAGAAAGGATGATAAAGCTTCTTAGTTGAATGCTTACTAAGCGATAAAGCACTTATGTGCTTGGCTGTTATATAAAAATTAGCTTTATCGGTATATTTTCCATCATAATACTGAGACTCGAACAGAAGTACGATAATTAAGTTCTGGTCTAGCCTGATAGCATTTTAGACATTCTTTAACTTATAGTAATCTTTTTATCGCCATATGCAACTAAAACCTGTGTTACAGATATTCAACCACTTTGCACCTCGACATTCAATGCTGGATAGCATAAATTTAGTTGAAAGAAGACTAAAAGTGACCAGAGAGAGACATAGCATCGGTCTATAAATCTATTGCCTCTAATTCATCCTTATGGGGAGGTGCAGACTACATGGTTGTCCTAGGTGCATAAACTTTTACCCCTTGATTTAGGGTTTCAATGTTGTTTCGTTATTCTGCGAATCTAGTTCTTTTCAACCCATATCTTCTATGCTTATTTTTTTATACTAATACATAGTATTATTGCTTCGACTCCTTTTGTTATAATTTCTCTTATTACGACACAGCTACTGTTTCTTAGTGTTCTTGGACACTACTTCACTCAACAATTCCTATAGCACATGGTTGGACAGGAACGAAATTATGTTCTAAATAACAAGAGTAGATGGAAGTAGGAATCGCAATAAGAAAAACGTTAGTATATTTATAATTTTTACACGAGATTCTAGAGTTTTTTCCAAGTATCCACTAGTGGAACATGCTTCAATGCAATTTATATCCCATTAACGCCTTTACTGTGCATAGTGTACTGAGGCGGTTTGGCGTGATGAATGTTTGCGTCAGAACCTACGTTTTTTATGTCTGTTTCATGAGCCGAAGACGTACATTCAAATCCATAGTCTTCATTTACGTTTCACTTAAGTTTCTATATTCCGGGTTACCTTTTGAAAGTTTGGAGACAGTACATTACAACATAGCATTGTAATTAGCAAGCAACTCTTTAAATGAAGGTCAGAACTTTAGAAACTCTATCGTAAGCCGTTGCTTAATTTTGATGTAAAAACTCCTCTAACTTGTTAAAGTATGGAACAGTCCTGATTGTCTGACGATAGAGATTTGTGGTCCAGGGTTAAAATGATAATTGTTTAGTAATCACTGATTTATTGTGAATGTCTCATCGGCAACAAGGCCATTTTATCTGTTTCATTATTTAGGATTTTGATAATTTAGTACAAATACATACTAGGCAAACTACCACTTTTTCTACTTAAACTTATTCTGATGTTAATTAAATTTTTTGACGAAACCAACCCCATTTTTAGTCCTGATGAAACTTTTATAACACAGGACATGACTCCTAGTTATCCTTAGTGAAGCGATCTTTGGTTTATCACCTGAACACCAAATTCTCTTCTGGGTTAACCGTAAGGACTAATTTGAAAATTTATGCCTAATTATAACTAGTCATCATACACACAATCAACAGTCTTAAATTACGTTAGTCTTCACTTTAGGGACGTCTGTTGCTGAATATTACTTCCCACTACTTGTTGATAGGCATTTTTTCTCTCACTAATCAGTTCTCACATCTTATTTTGATGGGGAACAACATGGTGTTTACTATTATCGAGTGTCATGTTTTACTCAGATGAGCACGGGTCAGTAATGTAAGTGAAATCTCAAGCTTTTCGAGTGAACTGGATACTACTAGAAACTCAGCAGATTATAATATTTTATCACTTACTGTTTATGATGAAATACAGTTACACTTCAGTATTTCAGTTCAGAATTCCTCGCTAGTGGTTACATGGTCATCCGGAGTAATTTAAATTAACCTTCAGTTGATATTTTAAGTTGAGCTTGATTTCACAGCGGTAAATTAGTAGTTAACGCATTCAACTCACTCAATAGTTTGTAGTATATACCCTTACTCTACATGCTTGATTATGGCAACTGAGTATTACCACTAGCGGTCACACAGAAAGTGCACATAAGGATGAGCCTAAAAACCTGCATTTGGTTGCCGATTTATTTTTTCATTCCTAGTTTCACACCACTCATGAGGACTATACGCTATAGATATATAAAAGCGTGTCAGGCATTCAATCCATTTCCGGAGCCGGGATTAATATTTAACCACAAGTAAAACCGATTTGTTTATCTCAGTTACTGACCGTTGTTGCGTTGCGTCAATCATATGACTTCAGATACTGTATGTTTTCTCCAAAGTCTAGTTATCTCTTTCAAAATAAGTCCAAAGATCCGGAAACTAATTATCGTTTTAAACTGTTTCTAATGAGTAAAATCTCTTATAACCATAATGCGGATCCTTCGTCATAATTATGTTTTTGAGTTTACAACAAGTGTTTTCATCAGTTAGGTTGAAATATGATCATAGGACAATATTCGACCAAAAATTGGTGAATTTCCAATTGATCCTATCTTAACTAATAGATTAAAGCAATGTTGTCAGGTTATCATAAAAATCTGAACGCTAAGGAGCAAAAGCATCTGCAATAGATGTCGAATAAACATTCGCGTAGTGATCATAAAGAGTGATAGGAAGAAAAAGCGACGAAAGTTCGTAAAGTGCTTGTTAGTCGATATGATTATTAATTTATCAGTGTTTTTCTGTTACTGGGTATTAAAAATAGAATTGTTTACCTAGTTCTTGTCTATTTTTCTTAGAAGTTCGACAAAGTACTCATAGCAAATCGAGGTGAAATCGCCTGCCGTATAATCCAGTCATGTAAACGACTAGGGATTCGCACTGTCGCTATTCACAGCGAAGTGGATTATATATCTCGTTTTGTGTCCATGGCGGACGAAGCAGTATGTGTTGGTCCACCTCCAAGTGCCCAATCTTATCTAAATATGCCTGCTATTTTAAACGCTGTAAAGTCGACGGGTGCCCAAGCAGTACATCCTGGTTATGGCTTTTTGTCAGAAAACACTCTTTTTGCCTCGGAGTTAGAGAAAATGAATGTTGTCTTTCTTGGTCCTAATTCTAGAGCTATAAAAGCTATGGGAGATAAAATTGAGAGCAAACGAATTGCTAATCAAGCTAAAGTTAATTGTATCCCAGGTTATGATGGAGAAGTGGATGGTCCAGATGAAGCTGCTAGGATTGCTGCTGAAATCGGTAAAACTATTTTGTATAATTTTCTGGACATAAAAATATATCAAAAAGTTGTATCCATTTTAACTGTTATCTATTACGATTTCTTAACATTAATTTTGAAATATTTCTTTACAAATTAAATATAATATAAAATTTTTTACCCAGTTAAATAAAAGAATAAAATCTACAGGATTTTGTACTTCGGTTATAACGTGAACTGATCTAGAACTAGATAATATAGTTTTGTTTTCCTAATTCAACACAACTGATTACAACTCATGGTATAATGTTAATATGCGATAGTTTTTGTATTTGTACTTTGATTCTCTTTACCTTTATAGGTTATCCTGTTATGATTAAAGCATCTGCAGGTGGTGGAGGTAAAGGTATGCGTATAGCATGGAATGAAAAAGAGGCTCGCGAAGGTTATCGACTTTCTAAATCAGAAGCAAAAGCCAGTTTTGGAGATGATCGCATGTTAATTGAAAAATTTATAGACAATCCAAGACATATTGAAATACAGGTAGTTCTTATTGCGTTACAGTATTATTGTTTGTTTTTAAGTGTACAAATGTTGAAATTGTCGCTGAGGATGAAGACAACAAAGCCTCAGTGTGGCGCTCCTGAGTAGAGTGAGCAACCTTGCCAGCTAATTTGGGCAGTCGGCGGTATCGGACTAGTCTACTACTATGCTGTAAACCGGATTAACTGAGTTCCATTTTCGGAGCTCTTTAAAATCTTGCGGACTGCCCTATGTGTATGTTTATGTATGTGAGTTGCGTGAGTCTCGACTTTTGTGGTTTATGTATGTAGGTATATGCAAAAGGTACGCAGGTGGGTTTGCGCAAGGAAAGTAGGCTGAAAAAATGTCTGCCATATGTCTAATAAGGTCAGCAGTCTAGTCCTTCAGGTCCAAAACATAACAATAGAATATAGTTGCAAATGATAGGGAGAGGTGACTACCAATCCCTCCTGAAAGAGTGCTTATGCTTATGTGTATGTCATGAAGTCCAAGGGTGAAAGTCTTTGTAACAGTGATATACATGTAATGCGTAAGTGACATTCAGCTGTAGTAAATACGTTCGAAGGAAGCTGTTACCATCTACCTTCCTAAGTAAGTGAATATACCTGTGTGTATCCTATGGGATGCATGAGTGAAAACTCTTGTGTTACCAGTGTACATGTAACATATATTTTCTCACAGGGTAAGTATACCAACGTGTATGCTAAGGGATGAATGGGTGAAAACTTATGTCATCGGTATGCATGTAAATTATACTTGCACGTGATGCGATGCTCGCTCGTCAAGACCTAAGGGTAACGAATTATCCATGCAATCACATCCACTCGGTGGATTTTTGAGGCTTGTAAGACGAATATAATTTCCAGGAAAGTCAATCGGCTTCAGCGGATAAGACTTCACCAACCTTAACACGACTGGGACACCGTACCGCACTGAGAATGAAAATGATAAGTATAAACAATTAATTAATCTTATCGTGTATGGCTTTTTAAGCATATCTGTTATTGTGGATTTTTTAAGTAATCTCTTTATGCTTTTCATTTGTAATTAATTTTTGCGTGTTAGTTAGATAAACTCTGACTATGTCCATGGCATCACCTGTACGAGCCTCAAACGTCATAATAAAAATATTTTATTTATTTAATTAGTTAGAGTACGCTTCATGTAAGACATAATTCCCTCAAGAATATATCTCAATTGATGAACTGTGCAAAAATAGTATAAATTTCATTTCTTCTGTTTTACACCCCCTCTTTTTCCTTTGAGTTATCGTTCTATGGAAGGAGATTTAATGTTAATCGTTATCGCCAACGTTTCATCCCACACCGTTATTATTTACATTTGTTTATCTGGTCTGTAATTTAGCAGCCACCAAAGTCTATCCGTTTTATTTCACCTAAAATAATTTATAATCTCCCTGTTCCTAAGGAGGGAATTAGATAGATCTTAGGGATGTAAACTGGTTCATCGTTATTGTGTAATATCGAACTTGCCATGTACATCTATGACCGTAGTAACTCTCATAGCCTGGTTGTCAGCATTTGTATGAAGCAAGTGGTAACCGTTGAACGGTTCATCTCCAGCTTCCAATGAGTTGGAGTTACTCTTCTTATTTCACGTCACCTTTCTTACGAACCTGTCTTCACTATGAGTAGTAGCAAGAGTAATATTCTTTATTCGGCTACTTACTGTTCTGAAGAAAAACAAATGGAAATCAACATATTTCTTCGCAAATGATAGACCAATTAGAGTTACTACGCTTAGCAGAAATAAAAAAATTAGTGCGTAGAATAATGGGTAGTAAGATTTTCAATATATGTGTGATAATTGAATGGCCAAAGGGCTTATGACCAATGTTAAGCTGTCTTCTTGTGCTTCCAACAGCTGATCTTTATCATCTTGAGGACCTTACCCTGAAAACTTTTATACCACTACAAAATACAGAACAACAGTATAGACTAACACTTCGTTTTGTTTTCCTAACTCAATTCAAGGTCCTGCCTTGTAATATATTTGATATGCCCTGCATAATACACATAGTTCAGTCGATGGGGGCTTTTTTATTTCACTAGCTTATTATCTTTTCCGGAAACTTTGCCTATAATCTCAACACCTTGCTCAGTGGTTTGTTTGCGCGAGCAATGCTTTGGAGATACCTTGCTTTCTCTAATAATACGCATAAAATTATCATCATCTAGAGAGTTAATGTCTTTATGATATGTATCCACACAAAATAACATTCATCCATAAATGTTAACCACAATTTGAAATGGCAAAATACTACTTTTGGTCCCCAAATTATATTTTATCAAGTTATATATCTGTAGAAAAATCTTCCGGAGAGCTTACATGAATTAAACAATATAAGGACCTCCCTTTTATTTAAATATGATCATATAGAAAGCAGCTAGCAGTAACGTGAACACTGTTGACACAGGTTAACAGTCTTTATTAACAATTATATTTTGACATTTAAAACTTTGATTTTAAACCACCCTGAAAAATTAAATACTTAGTTTCGTTAATTTGTTATCTATGATAATATATTTGCTTTACAGGACTAAGATTTCCTTTGGGTTGTCGGAAAGACATTTGCTAAAGGACTCTTTATTACTCCAGTGAACTTTTATTGTTGAAGTTTTTTTTCCATCACCATCTTGTAATTCATTATGCATTTTGAATCCTGTTTAAAATTTATCTTAATTTGATGTTTGTCAGACTTATTGATTGGAAGCTTTCGCTATGAACTGACATCAATTAAATAAATATCTGTAAATAAGTGAGCTATGTTTCATCTTTCAATTTGATCTCTCATCACTACATAGTTGATACAAGGTGTTCCTAGTGGGATGTGATAGCCATAAACTCATTCCAGAGAAATAATCACAACCCCGTGGACAGGGAAGTTTTGCTGTGTCGTGTAGTTATCAGTAGTTTACCAGCTAATGTAAGTTTGCAGACAGAAAACATCAGACATCCTCATTCTATCTGTATGTCACATAATACCAAGTATTACAATATTTCATAGGACTTTTGTAAACGTAAGAAAATATGTCACTATTTTATGAATGCTAGTAATATTATAGAGCTTCCTGTTTTTTCCGATTCAAATTAATATCCATAGACTAAATTTGAATGTTTGTTATTTATTATACAGGTACTGTGTGACAGACATGGAAATGCAATTTATCTTAATGAACGGGAATGCTCTATTCAAAGACGCAATCAGAAAGTCATTGAGGAAGCACCTAGCACATTTTTGGACCCAGCTTCGCGTAAAGCAATGGGTGAACAAGCTGTCTCGTTAGCCAAAGCAGTTGGTTATGATTCTGCAGGTGATAAATATATACATGTATATTTCATGAAATCATAACTGTTGTTTATCTTCAAGTTAACTGTGTTTGCAATCTTTTTAAATGGTCGTTCTTAATATCATTACTTTTAATAGCATTACTTTTTCCATGTTTACTATTTTTGTCGTGAAATAAAAATGACCAATTTCAATAGCGAATGAAATTTATTGTCAGATATGGGAAAATATATTCTCCACAAAGTGTGTATTTCTACGTATAACTACCAAGTGTTAATCTAGTAGTTATGTTAAAGCCTTCCTACTGTAGATGCATAATTTGATAACTCTAGGCCAATAATTTAATGGGCTTTTTTCGATAATAAGTTATTTTTCTTCATCCCTTTTATTTTTAACGTGAAATGGGAATTTTATTTATTAGTTCTGAAGGACTGAATAGTCAAACAGGATTTTGCTATTAAAATGACGTTTGCGTAAGCTATCAACTCTTGAGGATGAACATACGTCACTTATTGCATATTATTATTATATTTCTGTTTGTTAACTCCGCAAGAATGGTAGGGGCCTGTGCATGTGCTCACTTATGGCGAACCGTTAAACATTATGGAAGATTTTATGTGTATTTGAGTAGCTATATGGGTGCTAGTTTCGGGATGGCAACTGAGACCAATCTACTCATAATGAAAGAAAGAGCAGCTTAAGCTAATCTTGCTATATTTGGCGCCGTCACGATTGTCTAGCTGTAGAAAATTGGACTTTTTCGTCGGTGAGGGCAATTTCTCGCTGTTTGTGATACCTGTTCCCTTCAAGCTGTAGAGGTTTGAGGACTATTTTAAACCATGGTTATCTTGGAAGGACATGACATGACAACCCCATGTTAGTGATAGTGAGGTTAAAAATGTTTGTACAGGTGCAGTCAAAATTCAATTGGTCTCATAATCTTAAAACACTATTTTCAGTGGCTTGTTCATGTTTTATGAATGCCATCTAAGCGGAATCCGAATCATGGATCATTTCCAGATGCTAGGACTATGTATTACAAGTGTAAAAGTGATTACTTTACGATAGGGTCATAGTATGGGAGATATTTGTATAGGACGGCTATCACGCATATACAGTTGGTGTCCTAGAGATTGTGTGACTTAGTGGCTTGTGGCGTAATCAGAAATGATTAATAGTAGCAACAAATGACGGTCGTACTATAGTTTCTACACCTCATTAAAGTGAGGTGTATTTTTAACCAAAATGTGACTCATAGTCAGAACTTTTTCTGTTCATTTCCTTATTGATTTTACTGCCATTCTCTCCTGTATTTCTTCCAAATACTGCCGCTCTATTTGTGTGGTGCATTTTTTTCTTGCCTACTTCACTCGGATCTGTGTACATTAACTAACCTCTACCTCTGTACAGAATTACTAAATGGATCGTTAATCTCTCTAACTCTATGTCACTACTTTTAGATGTCCAGAAAATCTGACTTCTTAGTTTTCTCAAATACAAAAATCATACGAATATTATTGTGATAATGTTCCAATAACATTAGCAACTGATTAAATGATTGTCATCATTGACTAAAGAGCCAAGATGATGATCCCCTTATGAAGTAGCGTTATAGCCCATGTTTCCCACTTTTTTGAAACTTTCTACTAAGAAAGTTTGCAGAAGACTATTCATTGAAACATTATTGACCCATTTAACTTGTAACAAACTAAATTTAAGGTTCCCAGTTGTAGGAATAAAATAAATATTCTGTTCAGGGTTAGGATTTTCAATATATGCAAAGTGTTTATTTCATGTATTTTATGTTTCTATAATGCGAAATTTTTTAGGAACTGTTGAGTTTTTGGTTGATTCCAAACGTAATTTCTATTTTCTTGAGATGAACACTCGACTTCAAGTAGAGCATCCAATCACTGAGTGCATAACTGGTGTTGATGTTGTACATCAAATGCTTCGAGTTGGTAAAGGGCATCCGTTAATGCTATCTCAGGTGAGATTTATGCAGTTTTAGGTGTAATCTAACCTTACATAAATTATCTCTGCTTTTGCTGTTGTTACTATGCTTTAAAGTAATAATTCGCTTGTTTGATTTTCTACTCTGGTTACTATCAAATGCATACAGTTGGAACATAACGCTAAAAGTAAGTAACCAGAAGGATAAATCTAAAATGTAAGACTCAAATAGCCTTAGTGTTACTTGGAGAATTTCAGATTTTAAATTGAGACTAAAATGAAGTAATTTTTTCTCATTTATTGGCTAAGTAGCAATTTTTCGTATAGTTTGACACTTGGTTTCAATAATTGGTTAAATAGGAGTGTCAAAAAGGCACAATATATCGTTCGTAGTTTTTAGATACTGGATTTGAACTACACCGGATAATATTCGCGTGACTTATATGACCAATTAGAAGTAGAAAATCAATGATGAATAAGTATAGTCAGTTTAAAACTGTGATCTTTACACACAACCAAAGTGGAGAAGATTTGTAGCTCAGGTGAATGATTTTGATAGTTTTTTTCTTTTAGCTGGATGGTTTAGTCGTGGAGCTTTCATCGTTCTTCTGAACGACATTATTGGCACAAACTTCAGGTTGAAGTAGTATGACTTTCAACTAGTTTTATTTTTACGCACTACATTAAAAAATATCGTTATCTTTATTATTCCATATTATTCCGGTCGATCTTTATATTTTCAAATAACCTCAGCGAAAGTAATTTATATTATCCTACTTAGAATGAAGTATACTAAATTATTTGTAATTTGGAATATCATCTTAATCTCTTGAATGATCATGTTTTAGTGACTCAGTATCTGACTCCAATTAGATCGTATGAATGACTGTTATGGAGTGATCGTTTTCGAAATATATATGCCACCAATCCTCGTATATAATCATAAACATTAATCGCGTTAGTGTATAACGGAATTTAATAAGCCGAATACGAGAATGAATTTTGAACACGTATATTTTGTATAATCATTGATCCAGGCTGATGATCAAAGGAACGAAGCGAAACGAGATGATACGCGGTGAAGAAGGCATGTGAATCAACTCGATTTAATCAAGCGTTAATCGATATTTATAGTCACACAAAAATAAGTTACAGACATGTGATGTGTAGGATACGAAATGTACGCACATACGCTCATATAAAAACAGTAAAGGTTGTTAAGCTAATAATTGACAAGGTCAAAATGTGATTTAAGAAGAATGAATAAATGGGTTGGTCTAGAGACCAGAATAAGCTATGTGGGCTTAACATAGCAATACAATACAATGTTTACAAATTAGACAATTCTTCTACCATATCATTATTCAATGTTGCAAGGCTTAGTGGCAGTAAATTTAATTTTACTACTTTGCCCGTGTATTTCATTTGGAACAGGGAATTCAAAGTATTGATGGGCCTTTTCTAGACACAGCACGAAATTATATACATATTTTGCAAGTTAATGAGACTAATTTATGGCATGGCTAATATGGTTATTTTTGTATTATTATATGGGTTTATACATCTCTAGACCAATCAAAATTAACTAAAAGTTCATGAATATCAGGAATATGTAGTGAAATATGTGATCTATTTGTCTAAAAGGTAGATCTCGATAATGCAATGTGAAAACAAAGTTTATCAGAATTATGTGATATATTTCCGCAATACATTTCGGACATTCTGATCTGCAATTAAAGGTGGGTTAACACACACCAAAATGTCTGCAAAAACAAATGAATTCCAATGGTCAAATAAGATCATACGATAGACAGACATCTTCCTTTATTGCGAAATATTTAGTTGAGACTGGTCATAAGGTTGACATCAAGTCAGCATTTGTACTGTTGTACAAAAGCCTTCAAGGACGTATACTAAGGTTTATTGAAGCCTTGGTTATATTGAAACTGAAACCCTCTTTATGTGTTCAAAAACAATTTGTCCTTACCCTTAACCTACCCTGGTAATACTGATTTATTGTCCAGAGTGGTTATCATATTGTTTTTGTGTGCTTTATTCTTTTTCTTTGTTACTGCTTACCTTTAACCTGTCTAGCTGACCTTTTGATTTTCTTATATAAATGTCTTAACAAGTCTATATGTGGTCAGATTGTTCGAAATGTATTGCGCAAATATATCTCATAATTATGATAAACTTCGTCTTTTCATTGTATTATCGAAATTTATCAAAGGGACTAATTGTTCTAAAAGGTAAAGATTAGAAACAACTATTTTAAAAAAGAATTAAACGTTCAGTCCCTTCTGAATTTCCTTTATTGTTTCTTTGTTCTAAAACATCACCAAATCTGAGACTCCTTTATTTTTTGCGAAAACAAACCTGCTTGAAATTGAATTTCAGTTATATGGAATATCAACCTTTTATTCTATTTATATATTGAAATTACAGATATTATCTTGTATTTATATTACTTTAAGATATGAATAGTAATTGTTACTATAGTGGTTTTTGTTAGCGGGACATAGACTGGATTAAAGCATGCTCAATGCATGATTGCTTTGGTGCACGCTGATTGGCTAATTCTTATCCAATCAGCACTAGCCGATAGTTTTAATCTAGTTAAAGATTAATTTAGTGAAATAATATTTTGTAGTTAGACAATACTTTATTGGAATTTTTTGTCAACGATCTAATTTGCTTATTTCTCTTGTCTTACAATTTTTCTAGTTACGTCTTTAGTTTCTGTTAACAATTTTACTTACTAATCAAGTATAGATATGTGTTAATAAATTGTCTTTAAATACGGAATTCGTTCTTTCACTTTGTTTAATGTGTAGATACATTCAGCAGAAACATCTTAGATCATCAGGCATTAATCTAATTATGAATATGAGTTTAAAATAACGGTCATAGGTTGTTTGTACCTTTCGAGTACCTTTCGATGCTTGAGCATCTGGGCTACCTGTTCCTGTCATCTAAATATTTCAACAAGTTATCTATTTTTGTTTGTTTTAATATATCATTATGTATATTAATCACATAACCCATCCTTGTGCATTTCTGAAAAGTTTACAACCTTTCGTTGTCAAAGTTACTAAAAGCTCAATAAGAGATGATGTGGTCGCTGGCAATATGCAGAGAAAAGAATATACATTATTCAGATGTTTATTTACTAGACTGCTAACATCTAACTGGCTATCACTCAATATTTATCGTCAGGATCGACCCAGAAGAAAGAAACGGAAACTTGTTGAAATACTTTGTGCTGAGAATTCTATATTGTACCGAAAATATATTATTGAATAAAGCTTATAATAATAATAAAAAATAATAAAAAAAGTCCATACTTATTGCTTTGATTTGTTTTATTATTAGAGTATTTCTGTTGAAGTATATATCTTACTCGTTTTTCCTCTTATATATCCTTTAGTCTACTAAATAATCCATTTTAATGCATTGTATAGTCCTTTTAAATTTTCATTTTAACTAGTCGGATATACCCGTGAATGGATGGGCTTTTGAGTGTCGTGTATATGCTGAAGATCCATACAAAGCGTTTGGTTTACCATCGATCGGGCGTTTACGTACTTACAGTGAACCTTTGCACATACCTAATGTCCGCTGTGATAGTGGAATCAATGAAGGATCGGAGATCTCTATATACTATGATCCTATGATCTGTAAACTTGTTACATATGGACCAGATCGTCAAACTGCCCTAAACACTATGGCCAAAGCTTTGGACAGTTATGTTATTCGTGGTGTGACTCATAATATTCCTTTGCTTCGTGATATTGTCACCGAAAAACGTTTTGTATCTGGGAATATTTCGACAAAGTATCTATCTGAAGTGTATCCTGATGGATTCAAAGGTTCATTTTATTCCAAACATTTAGCGGTTGTTTTATAAACAGATGTAATCGCATACTGTCTTTTAGGTGGTTATTATAGTATTGTTAATGTTAAGATTTCAAGTATATGTACCTCGATATCAGGTTAAGTACATATTTAGTTTGTGAAGATCTCCTTTATCATAAACATCACATACAGTAATGTGTCTGGGAGCTGCCTACTGTCTTGATCAGTACTCAAGTTATTAATAAAATTTGACTGTTTAACGCAGCGTTAACAAATTTTTTGTTATTCCTAATCTCGATGTATATTGACCAACTGTTTTTTACCTTCCCACTTTAATATTTCCTTAATATCGAAGATTTGTGGAGATTGTTCTCTTTGGAAATAATTTACACCATAGGTTGAATATAGTGAGGGAATTTCTAAAATTCATTAGAGAGCTGTTTCGTCATACTATGAGACTTTTAGATAGTGTGCACCAGGGACCTAAACTGAGGCCTTCAAATTTACTGAGGAGTGCAATATCTTTAAGCCACTAAGTTTGGATTCAGTGGTTCTCATTTCCGACTTTAATTGATTTGCAATATTTCGCGAGGACGATTCATTGTCGCCAGTAATGCCTGCCTAACACTTGACTTAACTGAATCTTACCGGTTACAGTTTCCCAAAAGAACTTTCCTATTTAGCTACACTTTCTTACTAAGTAGAATTTTCACATTCATTCTCTGCCAATGGAATTTATTAGATCGTTTGATTATATATAGAAGAGATAGATTGTGACTAGTGGTGGAATCTAAAACGCGTGACTCGTCAACTGGATACATCTGCATCCCAATATTGATGTTCACTCTGGGTTTGGTCATAATTTGCTATGCGGAGACTCGTAACTGCGTAATCGTGGTTGATTAATATCTTGTGAATCCCCTCATTTTTAATTATAGAACTGTATTTAAAGCTTAAATAGTCGTTCATGCTCCTTTTGTTATGTAGGTTGTCAGTTTCTTATAATTAGATTAAGCTTTTTTTTATCGATGATTGGTTATCAGATCTATTTGTAGCTTTAAATGAGGTATTTCAAATTAGATATTTTTGTGAATCTTACTTTTGATCTTTAGGCAAAGTACTTGATCAAAAAGAACTAGATATATTAATTTCTGTTTCTGCATCTATATTTGCTAAAAATGATGCACGCATTCGAAACTGTTCTGGGTAAGTTGTCGCACAATAAAATTTTATTCTATAATCAAAAGGATTAATTCATTATTTAATTCTGGATAGATAGATACTTGCTCGACACAATAATACAAATTTTGTTAGTGCATGTTAATTTGATTTCTAGTTTACTTCACGGACTGACTTCAGATAGACAACTGTTAAGAACCTTAGAAGTACTGGATATTTGTTCTGTCCCAGGTATGGGGTTCCTCAGTAGTGCAGATCCACGACCACATAGGGAGTCGAACATAGAATGTTCAAAGTTTGTGTTTTTAACCTTTAAAAAATTTCTAACATCATTTCATTCTCAATGTTGTGCAGAAACTTATGTAGATATTTTTCTGTTTTTTCTTGTCACTTGAAGGACAGATGAACATTTATATCACACTAATTAGACTTACGCCATCGTGTATCAGTTTAAGAAGAAAGTGTTATGATCAGTGGAACAAATGGTTTTCTTAAATGATGTTTATTAAATTCAGCAATGATTGTAGACATTCTTGTAAAGGTATTGAGTGATGCTTCTGACTTCGGGACTTCATTTATCATCGAAATATTCTTTATATGAGTATACAAATGAGATCTATCTTATAACAATAAAAATTCAGTTTACCTAGAATTCGAAGCTAAAATTTATAAACGTTGAAAAATTTCCCTGTAAGTTAGGTCGTATAGGGTTTTTTACATCGTTGCTTAATTTTAGTATTAATAATAAATCAAGTTTGTAGAAACTTTGTTGTTGTTGTCAGAATGTGAGATTATCTCCAATGTTACGTAAAAATCAGGTACGATTGATTTTCGAAATTGATAATACGTTAGACTTCCCGTATCAACTAACATTGAACAGGAATTTCATGCTCAATCTCCGAGAATCGAATACATTTTGCTATCTTTCTAACTTTTTTACAAGATTTAATGTTCTTTGAAAAAATGTCAAACCAGTAAGTATTTTATCGAATGGTAAATGTTTGGTTGTACGTTGTATGCCACATCAGTTAATTTAGAATTTTCTTACAAATATTCATATTTCGCTATTAGACGTCTGATTTTCAATTTTTTCTATCTCTCCGCAATGAACTAGGGAGTCACAATGGGATTTAGTTGCATCTGTCCATGAAAATAGTGCTAATAGCGATCCTAAAAGTCGTTCGTATATTCGCTGCATTGTAACACGTGACTGCTCAGGTTTTCAAGTTCGCATGTCATCGTGGGAACCTCCCAAGCATATTAACCAACAAGACGTAAATGCTACTTCTCAATCCTCCAAGTCGCAAGAAACAGTTGTTAGAGTAGCTGATAATTTTAAATTGTCTGATAAAATTATAAACCATTCATATGACGGCAATGAAGCAAGTTGATAAGTTTGCTTTTCTCTTAATTCATGTACAACATTTTTCATTACTTGTATTGCAACAACTTATCAATTACTATATATATCTCTGAATATTCTTAGCAAGAATTTTGAATTGTACATCAAAATTATTAATATAGTCTTCAAGAACTTTCGTCTAAATTTGAACGAATAATTTCACAGTATTTGGACACCGAGTTAATGTAAAACATTCAGGAGGGAGAATACATCTGTAAAATCTCAACGATTGAATTTTAAGTAAATCTAATGTTTCGCTCGGCAATCCAGTTCAAGCTCTTTCCAGGAAATATTATCGAATATAAATAGGTTCATGGTTCTCCGGTTAACTGTATACTAAATAGGTCAGTTAGTCATGTTAACAATGTTTGAACTAAATATTTACTGTAGTGCGTATGAGACATGTGGTGTTTTACAAAAAGCGTGTTAAGATAACAGATTATGAGTATTCTTAAGTGGATCTGAGGTGTGAGAAGAAATTTAATTGACAGTTTATCGCTTCTGATCGGTGGATCTTCAAAGAAAACATACAAATTTATATATGATATGAGCCAAACATGTCATAGCATGTATAAAATGAAGATAAATAAACAAAGTAAAAATGTTTGTTCATTTTTGTATTGCTTGTTTGAATCTTCTCATTGATGTTTAGGACTTCAATTGATCAGTCTCTTATTAGCATATGGGTATCCTGTCCGGATTGCCTCGATATTGCCCTAAGTTACAAGCATTATAAACAAAGATGGATGGTGGTTAACAGTGGAATCCAGAACGTGCATTCCGTCCTATTTGGGACTCGTCAGCTGGATGTACCCTCATCCCAGATCTGATGTTCACTCCGGGACTAAAACCCAGTACTTTTCGCTTCAAACGTTATGGCGTAACATCTTTGACAGTAGGGTTAAGTCCCTGACGGAACATAAGTTTTTTAGACTGCTAAGGTCCGTTGATGACGAGTGTCAGATAACACGAAATGTAGTTTCAATACTTCATTCTGATTCCCTAGAGTCATCTTAAGGTAGGATAATATTTACCACAAATGTTTGCATCTACATAGGTCTACTGTCCTTTGAAATATCTTGTGAAATTATTTGGTGAGCAGGAAGAAAGGCTAAATCTTACAAGGAAATTTACGCCTTCTTGTTTTTGTTGAAAATCCCGGTGAATGAGCCGTTTGTTTCGGTCCCTTCAAAACAATTTTCTATGGTTGCCTAGTTGACTTCATTATGAGAGACTTGCAAAGATTATCATTTAGAGTTTATATACTGCGTACTTGATATCATAATAATTCTTTTCAAGTAACCATTCATTCTTTTTTTATTAATGGTGTTTTTTGCGACATCTATTCCAATAAAGTTTGACTTGTGTGATTGCAATTGTTCAAAGTTAAAGTTTTGAGTATTTTTTCCTTACCACCACACAAGCCTCAGCACCCATTGATAGACTAGTAATAATAATACTAAGTTCCCGTAACCTATATTTGAGCGTCAACGTGATGATTATGGTCATCTTCCACATCAAAGTTGAAGATTTTAATTGATTTAGGTTGTTTCTTAATTGTCTTGTATATGTACGTAGGTTTTCAAAAATTTTATTGTTTTAAGCAAGTTTGATCATGTATTAATGAGAAGAATTCTTTACTACGTAATGGGTTGAACATCCTTTTTTAGTAAAATAACTTTTCCAACTTAAGCATATATATTAGAGTTTGAACTCATAATTAGGTGGTTAAAATTCAAACGGGTTAACTGATTGGGCACTGCATGTACTTAAAAAATTCTTCAGAATTGTTCATAGCTGCTTGAATTTATAATAAAATATTCTATTCATAAGAGTCTCATCCTTCTTTTGTTTGCAAAATTATTTCCTAATAATTTATTTAGGTGACTTTGCAGTTACTCGACAAAAGTATCAATACTGTTTGTTTACAATATCTTGGTACTGCATTTCCCATAGAAATTATGAACACAACGGCAGCATGGTTTCGTGCCGCTTATATGCCTCCCCCCCGTGTTATCGACTATGGTTCAATTTGTATTGCTCCTATGCCTGGCTTGGTTCGTTCCGTTGCAGTTAAGTTAGGTGATCGAGTGAGCGAAGGTCAAGAACTATGTGTATTAGAAGCCATGAAGATGCAGAACAGCATGACAGCATCGAGATCGGGAGTTGTAAGTTTTATTATTTCGGAATTTTGTACGTGAATATGTTTACATCATATATTATGTTTAATGCTAATTGAACATTGAAACACTATGACGATAATAATAATAACAATGGAAACACTAGTTGTTTTTCTAATTAATTACGATTCTGTACTACTGTAACATGCAATTCTATCTTTTTAACAGTGTTCAGATTTTTTATTTAGATTTATGCTCAGAATAATGAACTGATACTATTCAAAAATTCTGGAAGCCTATTTTGTAAGTTTGTGTGTGACACACGACTTAGGCTTCTGTGTGGTCAGATGAATACTGAAAAATCCTTCTGTTTCCTTACATACAAGTTTAAATTATGGCAGCTAGGGCTAGAAAATAGCAGGACACTAAATGTGTTTCACTGTCCATGTTCATTCAGTATGACTGAGTGTTAACGGGACACTGGATGGTTTAGTCCACAAGTCCTTTAAGTGAAATGAGTTTTTTTTAGGATGTCGCAAACTTAAACAGAATAAGATATCAAATATTCATTATATATGTTAAGTCAGTAGCTACGTGGAAAGGTGTGATGATGGTGTTGGGTATAGTTAAACTAAGATAAAATAAATTTTTGATCGTTCAAATAAAAATGTGGTAATGATGTTCAAAATCACTAAATCCTGATTTGTTTCATTTAAATGGCTAAAGGGTTTCCAGTTGATATCACCACAAGAGTAAAATAAATAAGTTGGTTTTTTGGGAAGTTGACTCAAAATTCATTTCACAAGTGTAGATCCAGCTACCCTTCAATAGTTTACAAAAATTGGAGACCATCTATCCATTCTCCGTCTGTCTGTCTTCTCTTACCATTGTTATCTGTTCATCTTTAGCCGCTGTCTTATTAAATATGCAAGCTATCAAACTTTTACACCGAATTCTTTACTTACTAGTAACTCATGATATATTTTATAAGTTATCGCTTCTGGAAAATCATCAGTTAAGATATTGTGATGTGGCTTTCAGGAGATTTGATAGTAAGCAAAGTGATTTCAGTTGCTTTTAAATGTATAAGGGCAACTGTCACTTCTCAGTTGGCCACACTATACAAGGATTCTCTTTTCTAAATGATTTGAAAAGGTAACCGGATTAGTCTTGATTTTAGCAACTTGGGAGAGTAACTATAAAGCTTACAAATGAATATGTATACTACATATTTACTTTCCTACTTTTTCCTGTTAAGTTTTTCTATTCCTTCATAAAAATTCATTTTTATATTTGTAATTTTTTTTTCCCTTCAGATTAAAAAAGTAAATTTCAAAGCTGGTGATTCTGTCGGTGAAGGTGATATTTTAATTGAATTAGAAAAAGAATAAACTGATCAATATTTATGAAACATTTCTACAATAGCTTGATTAATTTTTTTCTCTCTTCATTTATTATATTAACCATTATTTATGTTATATTCATTTTGATTTCATTCTATATTTGTTTTGCATATATATTTGTTTCATTGTTTATTCATATATTCTCCTGTTGTGAGTTTTTTTGTTTGTTTTGTTTATCAACTATTGTCCGTTACCATTATTGATTATGTTTCTTGAGAAAAATAAAAATTAAAAAAAAAACAATATTTTCCTACTAATCAATAATAATTTCCTTTTTGCTTAGTGTATATATATATAAATTGAGTATGTATTGTTTATGTTGAATAGAGGAAATTTTTGTATATAATATAGTTGTGCAACATTGATCTATTGAAAAGATAAAGTTACTAAAACAAACAAAGATTGTTTTTCTGATGAGAATCTATTTCAGTAGAGAAAAAGATCTTTCAGTAAATTTGAAATATGTATTGTATCACAGTAGTAGTTTGTACAATATACTGTAGTTCAATGAATAGTTTTTAAGTTGATGCTTAAACAATGCAAATAGGCAGAGGACAAATACCAGTTACCAAGGAGTAAAAATTCTTTATATTATCGTCGTGCAATGCTAACCGGTGTTGGGAATGGTTGGAAGGAAGTTAGAGGCGGCCAAACTAAAACGTGACATCAGTGTTTGAAGACACTAACTTCTGGTCTTAGTCATGTTGGTGAGTGCAGACTACTTGATTGCGGTCCGCTTGACTAGCGTAACCAATGGTTGGCGACTCTTGGTGAAATGGCTCAGATTCGATCACAATAGCGTAGGTGTATACACTATGTCTTCCCCTAAACTATGAGATTAAAATTGCTTCATATCTTTCTTTTTTCCTGTACTATATCCTTATATGCAATCTTTCTTTTATGTATTACCACCATTGAATTAACTACTTCTATGAATCCGGTGTTCATCTTGCTGTGCTAATGCGGTATGAAATCTTGGACCGATGCATATATGTGCCTGGTCCTATGTTGTAGCTGACTGACTGATGTCAAAGCTCATCCCATCCTAATGACTAGGCGCTCTGTATACCAAGTTAAGTAACTTGGTATTTCAGTGTGCTGTGATTCATATCTGTCATTTGGGAGATTTCATCGAGAATCTTGGAATTTGGTTTCGGTACTATGAATCAGCACTGAGAAAGCCGTCCAGCGACTTCCGATCTGTTTTCCAAGGGTTCAGTCTCAACATGTATAGATCACGTTTAGCGTAATGCATAAAACTCAATGTGTCGATATGTAAATTAACATTAAAGCTGTCAATTGAACAAGCAGTTACAAAAATGATTGGTATGATCAAGCTGCAAGAACTTAGTGGTTATGTCCGGTGTAGTATATAAAGCTCGCCACTCTGAGTTGTAATATCATAAATTCTCAGCCATATGCAACGTAGGATATGAAGCACATATATATCGGTTCAAGTTTTCACATTTCATTAGCACAATGAGATAAAGTCAAGACAAATCCCAGAGAAGTCGAAGTAGTAACAATATCAGTAGCTGGATTTGAGATGAGCCATAGAAAGGAAGAAGTTTTTACAACTTTTGGACCTAGAATCTAAAGGAGAACAGAGAATAGATGCACCTGCACAATTATAAACGACTCTGAGTCATAGGTATCAATACCAAGGTTGGACTCGATTGTTTCGAAAAAATTGAGCATTGGGTAGAGAATTTTTCTGTTGTATCCCAATGAGTAGAAGAATTGTATTCCTGACGTTCCGTGACTTAATGTAAGCCACTTCTTCAGAGTAAATAAATAATCAAAATTGGCAATGTTTCCTTTGTACTATTAAAAGTTGTACTAATTTAGTTTCTATTGTTTGTTTGCCTTGAAGAAGTGCCTTACATTAAGTCACGAAACGTCAGAAATACAATTTTTCTACTCATTGGGATATAACAAAATATATATTTATTATTGACTTTGAGTCAGACCACACAAATCTCTAACCACTGGTCCTAGTTACCACGATCCACAACCAGGTGGTTTGCATCTACCGACACGACTAAAAAATAAACTTTTGAGTATATCAAATGAGAAGGATTTCTAAATATTACTTAGCCACTTCTTCCCTAAAATTGAAGTTAACTAAATTTGAATTCCCTTTTTGTTATTCTTAAAATAATCAATATTGTCCAATAACACGGTTTTAATACTTATTAAATATATAATGGATATTAATTAATATATTAAATGAATGGAACGTACAAACTATGCAAATTCGTTTTTTAACTTGTACTGTACTAGAATTGATTTTGGACATTAATGTAAGTCAGTTATCATTAACTTAGACCGTAACACGGATGTATCTTAATCCAAGTTTCCATAATACATTAACACGGTGGGATGAACTTAAGGAAATAAATTACAAACGAGATTGAAGTCATGTGGTAGCGATTATGAAAAAACTGAACATCAAGAATATGGTTCAAAAAGAGTGGAAGGGTATGTTGAAAGGAATACTGGGATTTTTAGAATAAAGAGGATTAAAAGTATGTGAATCTGCACCATTACGAACGATCTCTAGCTACGTCACTCAGAGTCTCCAACCGTTGGTTGGAATTATCACAGTGACCACAACCAGATAGTCTGTGTTTATCCTTGTAGCTCCGACCAACAGTCAATGGCTTCATGGCCCGAAGCCACGTTTTGGTTTGGTCATCCTTAGCATTTCAATAACCCAATCCGACACCAGATAATATCACCCGTTCATATGGGCTATGATTTAGTATACATAATACATGTTCCAATCATCTCGGTTGACGATGATTTTCAAACCTATCAACCGATTTCCTATCTTTGCATTGCACCATATACCTAACTACGGTAGTCTCAAAGTACGTGGGCAGTACTTCGAAGACACCTATGATTGAGTTCTAGTAGTTTAAGAATATTTTCTATCTTCAGTGGTTGTTCTTCACACTCATAAAGTAGAATTGTTGATCAGCAAACTCGTCCTTTGATTGGGAGACGAACATTTTGCCTAAGTTACAAGTAACGCGATCCGGCCAAGGCCAATCGAGCTTTCTGAATCCCTGTCGAGATCTCATCAATCACATACTCATCAGGACTGATGAGACTACCGAGATAAGTGATATGGTGATGACATTTAACCGCTTCACTCCTTCACAGATAATGAGTTAAGCTTTAAATCTGTTGGAATTTCACAGAAAAGATGAACTGACAGTTATGACTGATCACTTATTTAATTAAGTTGATACACCCCCCGATTAAATCCTGATAGTAACAACAATTATAGATCCTACAGTCTAGTTAATATTCAGGTTCCATAAAAAATTTAGTTGTTAATTATTTCAGGAAATATGAACCTAGTTTTCAAGAATACTAATATCATTTTAGTTCAAGTGAAACGTAGAGAACTACTACAACCATCATCAAGAATATACAAGTATTTATGAATAGCTGTCTACGCAAGATATTCAATATCCATTGGCCGGATACTATCAGCAACAGCCTTTTGTAGGAGAGAACAAACCAGCTTGCGACTGAGGAGGAATTCACGAAAAGATGATGGAAATGGATAGGTGATACACTACGGAAATCACCAAACTGCATCACAAGTCAAACCCTAACTTGGAATCCTGAAGGGAGGCGGAAAAGAGGAGGTCCAAAGAACATATTACATCGGGAAATAGAGTCAGATATGAAAAGGATGAATAACAATTGGAAAGAGTTGGAAAAGATTTCCCAGGACAGGGTTTGGTAGAGAGTGCCAGTGGGCGGCCTCCACTCCTCCACGAGGAGTAACAGGAGTGAGTAAGTATATTTGAATTTCAGTCCATCATTCTTGACATATATATAAAATAACTGATATTACATTCAATCTCAAATGTAATTAAGATGTTAAAATTTATTTTTAATTACTTCTGTGAATAAATAACATAATCAGAAGCTACATTATAATTGTCACCATTATTTAGTTAATGAGTTTTATAAAATGAACAATTAATTAATGAAAAGTTAACTAGAGTTTCGCATGCACAACATCAGTGCGCATCCACGATCCCACCTTGCGAGATTCGAACCCAGAACCTATCAGTGCTTAACCTCTAGACCACTGAGCCGGCATCCAAAGATGTTAATGTCTAATTTCAACTAATCCACGAAATTGAGCGAAAGAAGTCAAAATTTTGTTGGGTATTTCTATGTTGTTAGCTTTGATACTTGTAGATTATGTTCTGAGTATAAAAATGTGAAATATATAATGATATTCGAAATTCGTTTTAGTATATGTTAAAAACCGAATTTGCATAATTTGTACGTTCCAATTATTTGATATATTAATGAGTATCAATTGTACATTTAGGAAGTATTAGGACTGTGTTATTGGACAATATTGATTATTTTAAGAATAACAAAAAGGGAATTCAACGTTAGTTACCTTTAATTTCTTTATTGTTAAAATAGAACTGTAATTTATCGACTGGTGCAGTAATGCACTGATTTGGGTTAATGATTATCATAATAAAATGTAGAAGTAGGGCTAGTAAACGAATTTGCTAAGTAGCAGCTAAAAAAACTAAAGTGATAAGATATGAAGTTTTTGTGGTAAAATGTTGAGTAAATACACATGTATTACTAGTGATCTATTCGAATGAATTAAAATATCTTGCAGCCATATTAAACCCTCACATCAGTACTTATATCTGATGAAGGTTAAGTAGTTTCAGTGTTTCTTTTAAACATAATATCATAAGGCCTGGATGATGAAAGAAGAACTATAAGAATAAAGTTATCTTTCTCTGCTTCCGTCTAGAATTTTGTTGATCCTAATAATAATATAAAAATGTGTACATTCAGTACAACTATACACTGCCCATATTTGCGGTAATTTATTGTGTACGATTTACATGATCATACAACCTTTTTTAAAATTGGTACTTTATCTCTTCCAAAATTTAGTTTTACCCAATGGATTTTGTGCTATCATTGGAAGTGACAGTCAAATCGGAATTCGCAAGGATTTAATTCAGAGAAAGAAAAGCTAAAATGTGTAGAATTAATTCACCGAGCAAAACTATATACGGCAATTTAAACTGTTTTTAGTAATGTGATACTGCTTGTTTATATAATACACTTTTTAGTCGGAAACAGAGTTAAGACCTCATAAGTATATGAATGCAATTTTGCAATTCGCATAACAGATGAACCTCCTTCGTATGATTAAGTTTAGTTTTTTATTGACTCCCCGCTTCATGTAAATTGAAAAAACTTTCAGGAGTTTTCAGTCATGCTATTTCTGTAATTGTATACTTTAACTTTTGATGGAGTTTCGTTCTCTGAGCTGGATGGTTTGGTCGTGCATCCATCCAGCTCAGAGAACGAAACTCCATCAAAAT